ACTTGGAGACGTCATTGAAAGCAGCTTCAGTTGGGGGCATGGGGATGGATAGCGTGGAAGGTACCGTGGTGAGAATGGGAATGGATGGGAAGCAAAGACAAGAAAACAATCACAAGAAAAGAACAAGGGCTGGGCCAGCCAAGTAGCGCGTTGGTTAAGAACTGGCTTGGGATGCCAGAGGGCCCCGGTTCGGATCCCACATATGAGGGCCAGTGACACTGCCCTCTCCAGCTAAGATGCTGAACAACAGCTCAACCTGGAGCTGGGCTGCTGTCAGTTGCCGGTGACGGCATAGGCTGCAACCCCTGCTGCAGTGGGTTGCCATGGGCTACCGTGTGTGGCCAGCAGCCAGCGTGAGCGGCCAACAGCCGCAGTGAGCGGCCATCCAGAAGCCAGCGACTGATGTGCCTCGCCCGGGAAGAGCGCAATGATGGTGCCAACTTGAGCCAGTGAAGCGACGTTCTCCACAACTAGACTGAAGAACAAAAAGACAGCAACTTGTCTGTTCCCCTTCCCCCAATTCCCTAGCGCTGTTCCCATCCCTCAATTCCCCAATAAAAAATTTTTTTTAAAATCTTAAAAAAAAAAAAAAAAAAAGAACAAGGGCTCTTGGTTTTTACCTTCCACCCAGGCTCTGCCCACCAAGCTAGCTTCCCTATTGACACTAGTTACATTTTCTTAAAATCAGAATTAATCCTACCACTTCCTGTTGTGATTAACATGTGCTGGCTTGCCACTTGCTGGACGATGAAGAGCAAAGTCCAGCGCCAATTTGTTTAGCATCGTTTACTTTTCAGGCTTGGTTTCTTCATCACCTATGAAGGGGAGGTGCACGGGTCCCTACTCTCTCATCTGAAATCCCTGGGGCCACATGTGTTTGGGAACTCATCGCTTGTCGGAATTCCAGAAAGGTAATGTGGTGCATATGCCATATATTACAGAGGCTGGGCTCCACCTAGTAATCAAACATACCAAGTGGGTCAAATCAAGACTAAAAACCACCTTCCCAGACAGAGGTCAGGTCAAGTTTTCCATCAAAGAAGTCACCGAGGTACTTTGGTTTTTCAGAACTTTTCTGATTTTTGGAATTGTGCTAAGAGCTCGCGGACCGCCCTCACAGGGCTGTTTGAAGGCTCAGATGAGACATGCGTGTGAAAATGAAGCCAAAAGGATAACCACAAAGAGTACAGAGGCCCCGCTCTTCTTGACTGGGATTGAAAGGAATCTTTCTTTTTCTTACATTGTGTGTGTGTGGGCAATTTATAAAGGACACTCTCTGATAGCCTTTTGGAAGCCATTTCTCCACAGCTGGAAAGAATAACCTACTTGAAGGAATGCATCCGAGTGTAGCTGGGGATATTTGAATGATCAAGGACACGTCCCCCAACGTCATCATCTTGATTTCTCTCTCTCTTCAGGGGCTGGGGCTAGGCTAAGCTCATCTAGGCAAAGACGGAGCTCACAGCGATGGGGACCCTCCCAATGGCAATCAGTTTTTTTTTAACTTTACTGGGGAACAGTGTGTTTTTCCAGGACCCATAAACTCCAGGTCAAGTCGTTGTTTCCAATCTAGTTGTGGAGGGCGCAGCTCACTGGCCCATGTGGGAATCGAACTGGCAACCTTGGTGTTATGAGCCTGCGCTCTAACTACCTGAGCTAACTGGGCCCCCCCAGCAATCACTTCTTTACTGTCACCCTTCCTGCTAAGCTCTATGAAGCAGGGACTAGGTCTGTCTTGTTCACGGCTGGGTCTCCAGTGCCCAGCACAGTTCCTGGTGCTTGCCCAGGTGGGCATTTGATGTATGTTTTGCTAAATCGAGTTGAAATTTATCTCTTATATTCCACACTGTGACACAAGGCAAAGTTGGCATTGTCTTAACTTCCATTGTTTTTACCTTCAGGCAAAAACTTCCCCTCCCAGAGGTCATTCCGCCCGCCTCTGCCCTCTCTGCCTCTCACCTCTGCTCTTTTTGGCTCCCCCACCTCATTAACTGAGGATGTGGGTCCCTGGCCCACAGCCTTCTTCTTTTCCTCTCCTCTTTCTTTCTCATAAGTGTCTTTCATGCTTAGGTGCACAACCCAGCCTCACCAGGCACTATTGCTCCTCTAAAATGTTAAATAAACTCCAATATCTAATCTGGCCATAACTTCAATTCCTTTTTCCTATTATGTTACTTTCAGATTTCCTGGAAACCTGGCCCCTTAACCTCTCTTTGTTGACCCAATTAATTACTCACCCATCTAGCCTGGATTTCATGATTTAGCACTTCAACCACTCTCTTGCCAATACCTTCTGCCTCGTGTACTCTTTAAATCCCTAACAGCTGCCTTTTCTATTCCAAGACCCAGGGTTTTGTGTGGCGTTGAAGATAGACCCCAAATGTGCAGATTGGGGCTATTCCCAGATGATCTCCAATTTCAGCTGGGACTTCAGCTCTGCTTGATATACTGTTTTTGAGTTTCGGTCCGCTTCCTTACTCATTTCTCACAATGGCTTTCCCAAATCTCCTCAAGGCTCCAGACCCACCTGTGCCCTCCTGTCTTAGAAAACGGCCGTGCCTCTTAAGTGACAAAGAAAATTTACTTGTCCTTGTATCTACATACTCACCTATATCCTCACCCACCCTTTCCTCCTTCCTCACCACCTCAAAGGCAATGGTAAATCTTTTCTTGTTTTCATACACCTGTGTCTTCCATCTTCCCCTTCCTGTCACCCCTGAGACCTTGCTGTCCCATTTTTTCTTATATTTTCATCTCTCCTTCTCTTATGATTTCTTCTCTAAAAGTTATAAACAGACACAAACTATTTCCATCTTAAAAAAATAACACTCTTTCTTCACCCAGTGTCTTCAGGCCATCTTCTTATCTCCTCTTCTGTTCACGGTTGAGTTCATAGAGAAGAGTATAACGCAGCTGCCTTCACTTTGTCACCTCTTCAGCCTCTCAGTCAGTTCTACCTGGTTGATCCCCAGCCTGACAGAGGTTCCTCTGGCCAGGGTCACTTCCCAATGACTACAATCAATCAGCTCACTTCAGTTCTTATTGTACTAGAGTCCTATCTGCTGACACCCCTGACAGCTCCCTACTCAAAACCCTCTCCTGCCCTCACTTCCCTTTCTGGTCCCCTTTTCTCTCTCTGATAATTCTCCTCTGCCTCCTCGGTGGACTCTACTTCCTCTCTCTCACCCTTTTTACATGTGGCTGTTTCCCAGGATTATCCTTTTCTTCCTTTCTTGTGCTATATCCTCTCCTCGGGGGGACTCAACTAAGACATGCCTCTTCTGAGGATTCCTAGTTAACACCACTCCAGGAGTTTCAGATAGAGCTACCCAGCTAGGCTACTGAACATCTCCACTGGGTGTCCCAAAGATACTTCCAGCTCATTCAGTCCAGAACTGAACTTACTGTCTTCCCCAAACCTGATCTTCTTCCTTTCCCCCCTGTATCAGTCAATGACCGCCACCTCCACTGGCCTAAGACTCATTCTCTCCTCTCCTCCCCTGTATGACATCCAATCATTCACCAAGGAAATCTCCAATCTGTATCCTCCTCGGAACTCCTAAGCTAGCGCCTTAATGCAGAGTCATAGTCTCTTATGCCAATATTACCGCAAGAATATTTTAAGAGGTCTCCTTGCCTCCAGGCTTGCATCACTTCGGTTCAGTCTCAGTGTGCAGCTGGAGCCCTATACAATGCAAATCTGCATAAAGCCCTTTAATGGACAGGAAAAACAAATAATCTATAGTAGCAGAAAGCAGATTAGTGATTGTCTGGGGCCTGGGTGGGGCTGGGGAAGTTGAATACAATATAAAGAAACAGGAGGGAACTTTTTGGAGGTGAATAGTCTATATTTTGATTGTGGTATTGGGTATATGGGTATACGCCCAATGGGTACATTTGTCAAAAGGCATCAAACTGTACATTTAAAAGCAGAACGTTTTATTTAATGCAAAATATGCCTCCATCAACTTTATTAAAGAAAGATACCCTGCAATGTCAACCCCATTGCCTGGAGGATGAAGCTCAAATTTGTTATCCTGCCTTAAATGACAATATGGTGTCTTTCCTTCTCCTTCTCTTTCCCTACCCCCTAAACACCCATCGCATTAAATACACTCTAAATACAATCTAAAATGGCCCTAGGGGCTGGCCGAGTGGCTCATTTGGTTAAGAGTGGGAGCTCTGAGCAACAGGGTCGCTGGTCCGATTCCCACATGGGCCAGTGACACTGCCTCCCGAGCTGAGCTGCCAACAGGTGGCAGGATGGCTCAGCTTGTGAAAGCACATGCTCCTAACAACAAGGTTGCGGGTTTGACTCCCGCATGGGATGGTGGGCTACACCCACCTGCAACTAGGATTGAACACAGCACCTTGAGCTGAACAGAGGCGAACTGCCAATGGGCAGCCGGATGGCGACTGGACTTGGAGCTGAGCTAGCTGCACCCTCCACAACTAAGATTGAAGGACAACTTGGCTGTTCCCCTTCCCCAATTCAAAAAAATAAAAAATAAATAAAAATAAAATGGGCCTAGATCTCCTGTCCCTGCTTCTCCACCTGTTGAACATCCAACATGTTTATCAAGGTTCAGCGTGTGCTTTCACTATTCACGTACCTCGCAACCCACAAGTGATCCTTCTCCCCTATGTTTCACTGGCCCGACAATAAATGATACAAAGTTTCCGGTTGCACTCTTGTCTGTATGTGTCCCCTCTCTTTACTAGGCTGTGGGTGTGACAGCTGGACCCTGTCGTCCCCATTCTTGTGTCTCCAGCGCTTATCACTGAGCCGCTCTGTTTGTTGAAGGAACCTGGGCATTATCACTGCAGTCCAGCCCAGAGCGGGCAGGACACGTGTTCCTCCAGACCTCCAGGGGTCGCTGTAGCAGCCACCAGCTGTTTCCCTGCTTCTCTGGCCAGCTCCCAGAGCCACACGCATGCCTGGCAACATCCTTCCTTCCTATTGGGCAGAGGGCGGTCAGGGTCGCCCAATGAGACGAGGCGTTGGTGCGAGGCGGCGCCACCATCTTTGGGCGGCTGGGCCGTGTGTCGAGAGGTGGCCGCGGGAGCTAGGTGGGCAGGTGGGGCGGGTCGCGCCGCCTCGGGTCCCGGCCTTGCCGCCTTGTCCCGTTCCGCCGCGGGCCCACGATGCCGCAGTACCAGACCTGGGAGGAGTTCAGTCGCGCGGCCGAGAAACTCTACCTCGCCGACCCTATGAAGGTAAACTGCCGGCGGGGCCGGGACCTCTGTCCCCAGCCCCCAGGGCAGGATGTCTTCCCTGCCATCCGCTCGGCCTCCGGAGCTTCCTCGGCGCCCAGGGAGGTGCTGGGAGTGAGCAGAGACGGACCCCGCCACGTCCGATTGTTCCTACTGTTTCCTCCCCCGAATAACGGCCTGAAATGGGCAAACATCAGGGTTATTTCAGGGCCCTAACTCGACCTCCGACCGTGCCCCTTCCCCAGTCCCTGAGCTTCCCGTAGGGCTTTGGTTGGTTTACGTGTCTCTCAGGGCGGGCTCCTCCCCCTGCAGCTTCGCTTCCTGTCCCTTAGTCCCTTAGTCATCTTGCTGCCCTCTTCCCCTACCGCCAGGGTATAAGGGGACTTCGTGTACAAATAGGATGATGTGTTTTTCTGCCGCCGCCGAGACATGTTGAAAACCCTCAATTTGGAGGCATCTACACCCCTTAGAAGAGTGGTTCTTAATGCGGGGGGCGGGGGGCGGGGATCCAGTGCCCTTTTGAGAATGTGTGAATGCTCGCACCCTTTCCTCAGAAAAATGCACTTTAAAGGTTTAGAAACAATTTTAGGGGGCTTGAGGATTCATTCATGGCCCCCTGTAAAAGTTATTATAAGTGGATGCTAGAGCTTAGCTCGTTATTAAAAAGCTAAGATGTATTGTCATATCTAAAATTTATTTGAAGCACCTCCTTGTTGCTTTAAAATCCTGCAAGCGTCTTAGACCTGGATAAGTACCAAGAAGCTGTAAAACATTCTGTTCCATTCTTTACAATAAGATAATATAATTATGATGAAATGAATTGAAGATATTTTTCAAACGGAGTGCTTCGTTTATGACAATTTCTGGCTTCTCCATTTGGATGACTTCCCTTGTTCATCGGTTCTTCATTCAAGCAATGTACTGTGAGAACAAGACAGGATTTTTGTCCAGAAGTACCCCACGGTGTAAATTAAAAACATTTGAAAAGATAGTAAAGGACGTACAAGCTCACATCAGGAGTAACCCTGTTTTAAGAATGGGATGGTGGTGGTCGGGAACATGAAAATTAAACGGTAATTCCGGAGCATTGCTGTGAACAAAGATATCTAGAACGGACAGGAGAGGGAAAATGTTTCAGCTCCTTACAGTCAGAAAATGCCAGTGGTCTGAAAACGTCTGCGTCTTCATGATAGCCTTCTACTGTTTTTTTTGTTTTTTTAAACTTTATTGGGGAACGGTGTGTTTTTCCAGGACCCGTCAGCTCCCAGTCAAGTCGTTGTCTTCAGTCTAGTTGTAGAGGGTGCAGCTCACTGGCCCGTGTGGGGATCGAACCGGCAACCTTGGTGTAACGAGCGAGGGGATGAGTTGGGGAGGGGGCTTGACTAACTTTTATTGAATGCCTTCTATGTGACAGGCATTTCACATATATAGGTATAGTTTATGTGAACAATTAAGACAGCCCCTTGAGGTAGGTGAATAAACAATCTTAGATACAGTCAATGGTTTGCCTAGCCTAAGAGATGAAGCTGAAGTTTGAACCAGGTCTCTAAACCCCAGGTCCGTGCTGTTTCTACGTGTTCATGCTGCCAGGACGAAGAAGAAAAGAAATTCCGTCAGAACTCCCTGGGATCTGTTTTGCAGAAGTTCTGTCTTCTCTCCCCACCCCGTTGAACCTGCTCATGATGATACGCATCACCTTCACCATTCTCTCTTGCGTCACTCTAATTGAAGATGGTATTACTGCCCGACCGTGTGATAACTTCTTAGTTGTTCTGTCTGCCTTTTGAACCCCTTCTTCATGCTCACGCCACAGTTGTCTAAAACACAAACAGTTGCATTCTCTTAGTGTCCTGCTTAAAAACTGGTTCTTCATGGATTGCTGGATGAAATTCAGACTTCCATCCCACAGCCTGACCCTCTCTTCTATCTTCGGCTTTGTCTGCCACCATTTCCGCGCTCAGCTCTACTCTGGAGAAGGCACAGAATTCATCGATTCTTCATGCTGGCTGCTGCTTTAGCCTTTCTGCTAACCATCTTCCCTAAAAGAAAAGAAAAAGGCATTTCCAAAACCACCTCCTTGAAGCCTCTTTTTTTTTACTTCTTTTCTCTTTTAGCATGTTACCTGTATATGCCTTTATAGGACTTCATGTTCTTTTGTGTTTTGGTTATTTTACAGTTGGTAGAATTCAAAGTTCTTAAGAGAGCAAGAACCTTGATTTCTTTTTCTTGCTTCAAGGCATCTGACATGGTAACTGAGGTGCCCCCTAAGTTACAAAATGGACCTTCTTATAATACCAGAGACCCTTTAACTTTAATTTCTCCTAATGAAGCCAGTGGGTATTTTAATTAAGGGTTGAAACTTTACGTAATTTTCATGCTTAGTACATTTTAAAGTTTTAGTATCTTTTTGTTTCTGGAGAACTGAGCTTTTTAAAAATATGTAAAGCTGAATTTCATGGCTCAGTAAATAGAATCAGTTAGGCTGTCTAAAGGTAATTAACCTAGTTATTATTTATATCTACTAATGAGTTCTCTTTCCTCCTTCGCCAAGACAAATCTCATAGGGGGGTGTGACTTTTCTTTTTGGTTTTTGTTTTGTTTTGTTTTGTTTTTTGGAATCCCAGGAAAGCTGAGAGCATAATGGGAAAAGCTGTAGGTCACAGCTCTAATAGCCCTTTTTATTTAGTTCCCAGAATTGTCTTGAGGTTTCTGGTGCCACACTGTAAGCATTTAAAAATTATGTTCCTGTTTTGGCTTTGTCGACTGCACTTTTTAAAACAGCTATTTATATTGGTTAGCAAAAAACTGACTCAGCTGCAATACACTATTTTGAATCCGTCATTTAAAGAAATAAAAATAATGTTAATGGAAGTTGTAAACTCTTGGGAGATGTCTTCTTTTGTTGGAATATGCTAATGTCTAAATCGTTTTCTTAACTACCTAACTAGAATGCTGAACAACAAAAAGTGTTGTGTGGTGTGGCATTCAATATAGGAATTATTCTAGATTTGGGACAATTGTTGATGGAGACTTCTTTTCAAGACAGATCTCTGCCTTTATGTAATAATAATGCATCATGTACCATCACGATAAAGATGCAATTTTGCTGAATACTTTAGTCTCAATCCACCTCCTGAGAGCCATCGGAAAGGGAAAGTGTGAACTATGATTTCCTGAGGAATGGATTTGAACTTAAAAGACATTTCTGCTATTTTTTTTCCCCTTTTCCTATCATTCCTCTGTGGCTAGGTGTGTGGATATTGTTAGGGGAGAAATACCTTGCTCCTTTATCCTCATAGGTTTAATTGCTGGGGCCGTGCAAATTAAACTGACAGATTAACAAGAGGAAATAACATTACATATGTACTGAGTTCTCAAAGAAATGTAAGGAAGCAGTTAGAATTTGAAGCCTGTATACCATCCTAAAGGGTGACAAAATGGGGAAGAGGCTGGACAACGGAAAAGGGGTTTGGGGTTCTAGAAGGGGAGGGTAAGTTGTGGGAAAGCGATTAGGAAATGTATGGTAAATAAGAGTTGGTTAGTACAGTTTGCTCATGCAGATAAGAGGCCTTCTTGGTAACAGCTGAAAATTCATGTCACCTTTACAAAGGTTACTGATGTCCTGCTTTTTTAGCCAGAAAGGGCAGAGAGCTCAATTCGTTCAGCTCAAAACAGTCCTTATGCCAAAGTGCCTTGTTTTGAGGTGGTATGCTGTGATCCCCTTCAGGATATATTCTTACTGTCAAGAAACGCTCCCCTACCTTAAGAGTCGCACAGACAGTGCCTGAATATGGATGTATTCAGGCCATCTCTTCAAACTGACCGCATATAAAATATTCAACTTTTTTAAGTCTAAAAAAATACATTGTAGCAGTAGGAATGGAATGGACTAAAATGCTGTTCGTATCTCATTTCGGTAATAAGTTTACAGTAAAAGTGCCTTTAGACATTTTGACTATTCTAAAAGGATCTGTTTTTGCCCATCTAAATATTAAGTTATTTATGAGAAATATCTTTGACTTCACTGTATCTAAATATGTTTTTTTGTTTCAGGCACGTGTGGTTCTCAAATATAGACATGCTGATGGGAGTTTGTGTATGAAAGTAACAGATGACTTAGTTGTAAGTATACATTTTTATTTACTGCACACTTTCAGATTTGTTTGAGTTTATCGTTTGTTTAAAAGTATTTACATAGAATTTATGCAGATTACCCATTAGGATGCTTATTTTGCATTTCATTCCAAAATCAAGAACAGCATTCTAGAAGCTACTTTTATAGGATCTTGGGAAAATATTTAATTAAAGGGAAATAATAATTGAAACAGTATGTCAAGTGTAGTTTAATACTTACTCTCTTCAGACCTTAAGCAAGAGGAATGGAGGGACCAAAACTGGAGGTAAGGAGGTAACGGTTTCCTTATAGGTGTGTGAGAAGTAAAGGGTGGTAATTGAACACAAGATTTGGGCTTTATAATTGTATCTCTCTTTCCCTGTCTGCTCACTCCTGCCCCTTCCTCACACCCCCTTCACTCCTTAACCCTCTGCCATCTGCTTTATACATGCAGTTCTCCCCTGAAACTGCTCTTGGTGCGAGCTCAGCGGCAGCCTCTTCATTTTCAAACCCAGCGGTCTCATTAGGTCTCGCCTCACTTGACCTTCTTGCTGCCTTTGATACAGAAAACCACTGTCGCATGGAGATTACTGTTTTTGCATCTGTGGCTCCATTTTCTTTCTCTATGTTTCTGTTTCATTCTTTGCTGATTACTTCACTGATGTGCCCCCATAAATATTGGTTTCTCAGGATTCGGTCCTTGGGTGCCTTTTCATACCACTTCTTCTGGAGTAATCCACCCCTCAAGGTAAACACCCTCACGTGCCCTCAGATCTCTGCCTTTTCTGCTGCTGAAGTGCTCTAATCTGCCATGCTGGCTTAGGCCTCTGTGCTTTGAACATCCTGTTTCCATCTTTGCAGCATTAAATCCCACCCCGCCCCACTAGGCAAGACTGCTGCTGACCTTTCAAAACTCTGCTCAAAAGGATTGGTGCATCTCTTGCTTTTCTTTCTGGCTCTTCTTGTGCTGCGTCACAATTGTTTATCCACTTTGTCTTTTGAATAGAGCGTGAGTTTCAAGACAATAAGAGCTAGGTCAGTAACATTCTTAACCTGTATTTCCAGTGACTAGTCTTGACCAGAGGGTACTTAGTAAATCTTTTTTTAATAGATTAATTATTTTAAAAGTTTCATAGTGACTTTAAAAATCGCTTTTTGTCTTTGGCCATGTATCTTTTAATGATTACCATGTCTTCCAAGAACCGATAGAATGTGGTGAAGTAACAACTGAAAATGTGAAAAAGGAAGAGTAAATTGAGGCATGGTGTGCGAGACCTAGATTCAAGAGATCTGAATCCTAGCTTAGCCGTTGGCCGAGCTTCAGCCTTGGAAAAGTTCAGACCAAATGTTAGGCTTTCTGGGCCTGTTTCCTCATCTGTAAAGTGCCATAGCCGTAGTCTGCTTACCTAATTGGTTTGTTGTGAAAAGTAAACCAAATATGTGAAAGTACCTACCTACCATTCATTAGTGCTTACCAGTTAATGAACTCAATAAATGTGTACTTGAATCTTGAACATTCACGTCGAGAAAAATTTTCACTGTGATTGTCACAGAGTAGATAGGTATATCTGTATGTCCTCCACAGAGAGAATAGAGCAAAACAATAGTAGCAAAGACTCAACTTCTTACTCAATCATACATTTGCTACATTGTTGATAATCTAGTTTTACGTAATTAATATGTACTTTTAAAATTTCTGACAGTGTTTGGTGTATAGAACAGACCAAGCTCAAGATGTAAAGAAGATTGAGAAATTCCACAGTCAACTAATGCGACTTATGGTAGCCAAGGAATCCCGCAGTGTTGCCATGGAAACGGACTGAATGGTTTGAAATGAAGACTGTTTGCCATGTCCTTAGGAAGTAAATATCTTTTGAATTTGAGAAAGTGTTGGGACAGAAAATACTTTATGTAACTAAGTGGGCTATTCAGAAGCCCTGAGATCATTTTTTGTACTTTGTTTTTTAATGTTTACTTTAGAGAGCTAGGAGTGTAAATGCTTTCAGTTAGAAAGCCTTTATTTATTTTTGGAAATTGAACAAGAAATGCATCTATCTCAGAAACTTTGCAGATTATTTGCTGCAAGGCAAAATACATAATTATTTCTTTTGATAAATTTGTATCAGTAATTGAAAATGAGATGTCAAGAAAAGCCTATTCTTCTTAAATTTAGTTTCTCCGTCTTTAAAAAAAATTAAATGTAACCATTTTTGCTGGATTGATAGATTTCTTTTATACCATAAAATTTGTGCTGTTGATGACCAACAAATATAAAACATAGTAACTAGAATTAACCGTATAGCAGTATACTGATTATGTACAGCAGTGTCTCAATTGTGCCCCAAAGTAATTAGGAAAACAACCATGCTTTAACTTAAACTTGCCAAATTTAAACTATATTTTTGAATATAAAGGATTCATAGCGTTATTAGCTTGTTGAGCAGATTTACTTCGAATCTAGTTTTCAGTGCTCACAACACTGAACAGTTCCTTTAAATGCATGAACAGAACCATCACTGATGGACTGAAAGCACCATATTACAGAAATATTTGCCATATATCGCCAGCCATAGTTTCTCAGAAGGGCTGTGGGTTATGTAAGCTGTTACACCTCTGCATATCTCTTTGACCTCCCTGCTCACTTCTCTCTTCGCTTAACCACGTTGTTAAGCATGACTGGCACAACTTATGTTTTCCATTAAACCAAAAGTATGACATTATTTGATATTTATCATATATGTGTAACCTGAATATTACCACCTAAATGTAATGTTCACATGTTGATTCCTACATTAAAAAAAATTTTGTTAGCAATTTGTCGTGTTGAGCAACATTTTAATACGGAGAGTTCCATTAGCCATATGAATTTTGACATGTTTCAGAGAGGTCAGTAAATAAAATACCATGTGACCATCCATGTATTGTTTCTTTTGAAGTTTTTAACTTCTCAAGAATTACTGTTTTCTTGACTGGAGATACCATATTCATGTAGTCTAAAGTGAGCATAATGATACTGCAAGTAAATGTTGTTTGTTTTGTTTTTTGGTACTTTACATGACTTTCTCTGAGCTGTATGTTGATGGCAAGATTCTCAGTTAAGGGAAATAACATCAAATAGTGGAGGATTTTTTGAGTTTGAGTTTTTTTCCCTCCAGAATTAGTGGAATCACTGGAGTTTTTTGCTCTTTTTCTTGCTCATTTACATCTCCCACTTTTTGACACTACTTTATAAAGATAACCAGAAAGGGATGGACTAATGTTTGGGCTCTTTGAGATTTTTGTAGCTTTTAGCAGAGTGGTTAAGAGCAGAGGGTCTGAGGGAGACTGCCTGGGTTGCAATCTTGGCTCCACGACTCCTACCTCTGTGGTCTTGGACAAGAACCTTTCTAAGCTTCCGTTTCCTTCTGGAAATTGAGTTAACAATAGTACTCTTAGGACTTCATGAGGATTAAATGGCATGATCCATTTTAAGCCCTTAGCACAGTGCCTGGAATGTAGTAAAGCTCAATAAATGGTGGCCATTCTTACTATTTTTCTGATTATTGATTTTCAGGGGAAAGGGTATACGTAGCTACAGCTCTTACGTTTTCTCATAATTTTAATTGAATGATTATTTATTGGGAATGTCTGCCTTTTCTGCCAAGCTGTGTCTATTAAATGCCATTTGTGGCAGCTGGGATACACAAGATCTCCCTCATCGACAGTGTTCTTGCGTGTTCAAAGGGGACTGAAATCCTTAAATCTGAAACTTGTATTTTTTTGTATCTGCACAAATTAAAATTATTGAGAGAACTAGTTGGTGGTAAAAGTATTAAATCTCTTAAAGACCATGTAAATAATAAAATACCAAATCATAATATATTCTGAAAATTGCAGTGCCGGGTACTCTTAATTTTTTTTTTAATCAGGAAGTATTTCTGGACACGAGAATCATACTTTCATGGATTAATTTTTAGCAAATGGTTTTGTGATATATTTGATCAAATGAAGTTATGTGGTAATTGAGATTCTAGGTACAGTTAGCAGTTCAAATTTTGTTCTTCTCTTGTAAAGACCCATTCTCCTTGGATCACCAAGCCCATTAAACATTACCATTAAGCTACACATGTTCCTTGTTGTAAAGGGTTGGCTACTCCCTTTTGGGGTACCTAGCCTGCCAACTTCTTGTCTTAAAAATATTACACCTCTTAGTCATAGACTAATGACTTAATAACTTGTCAAGAATTCTCAAAACTCAAGAAAACAATCCCTCTCCAAAAAAACCCACAACAGATTTGAACATACACTTCACTGAAGAGGATGTACAGATGGCAAATAAGCCCATGAAAAGATGTTTGTCGGGCTGGCCAAGTGGCGCGCTGGTTAAGAACTGGCTTGGGAGGCCAGAGGGCCCCGGTTCAGATCCCACATATGAGGGCCAGTGACACTGCCCTGTACAGCTATGATGCTGAACAACGGCCCAACCTGGAACTGGGCTGCTGTGAGTTGCCAGCAATGGCATAGGCTGCAGCCCCTGTGGCAGTGGGTTGCCATGGGCTACCGTGTGTGGCCTGCAGCCAGCATTAGTAGCCAGCAGCCGCCGTGAGCGGCCGTCCAGAAGCCGGCGACTGATCTGCCTCACCCGGGAAAGACTGATCTGCCTCACCCGGGAAAAGCGCAATGATGGTGCCAACTTGAGCCAGTGAAGCAACGTCCGCCACAACTAGACTGAAGAACAAAAGGACAGCAACTTGTCTGTTCCCCCTCCCCAATTCCCTAGCGCTGTTCCCTTCCCCCAATTCCCCAATAAAAAAATCTTAAAAAAAAAAAAAAAGATGTTTGTCATTAGTTGTTAAGGGAATGCAACTTCAAATCACGTGATCCCCACTGCACACCTATTAGAACAGCTAGAATGAAAAAGACTGACCGTTCCAAGTGCCGACAAGGACGTGGAGCAACGAGAACTCTTAGGTTGGAAAACGGACAGTTCCTTTAAAAGTTTTGCATACTTCTACCATCCATACAAAGACTTGTACGTTAGTTATTCATAGCAGCTTTCTTCATAAATAGCCCAAACCAGAAACAACCCAAAAGTCCAACAGTTTTTGGATAAACAAATTGTGGATATTTATACATAGCAATACTACTCAGCAATGAAAGGAATGATCTATTGATACATATTATAAGATGGATAAATCTCAAAATTGTTATGGCGAGTGAAAGAAGCCAGACGAAAGTGCATACTGGATGATCTAATTTACGTAAAATTCTAGAAATGCAAACTTATAGATAACTGCAGATCAGCAGTTTCCTTGGGGAAGGCGGGAGCTGTGGGTGGAAGGGATTACAGTGAGACGAGGAAACTTCTGGGGGTGATGGATATAGTTCTCTAAAACAAGAGTGAACCAAGGAAGAGGAAGATGGCGGCTGAAGGAAGCGGATACTTGACACCGGAGAGCAGGAAGGATTCCCCAGGCTGGAAGTAAAGAGGGACTCAGATGAGCTGTGCACCAGAGAGAGCAGACCAGGTCGGAGGCAGATCAGAGGGCTCCTCAGGCACTTTAGGGAAATGAAATGGAAGAAAATCGGATGCGAATGAATTTACCAGGAAGGGATTTAGGTAACTGGTAGGTTAGTGTTGAAATGATTGGTACATAGGAAATTAGGCAAAGGGCAGCTGGTTAGCTCCGTTGGTTAGAGTGCAGTGCTCATAACACCAAGGTTGCCAGTTCGATCCCCACATGGGCCACTGAGATGTGCCCTCCATGAGTAGATTGAAACAACTACTTGACTTGGAGCTGATGGGTCCTGGAAAAAAACACTGTTGCCAAATTAAAAAAAAAAAATTAGGCAAATTTTACAAATGTTAATTCTAGGGAAAGGAAATTAATCACAGTTACTATAGATCAGCCCCGAATGAATGGTCTTCATAAAAATGAGGCAACTGAATATTGATAAAACTAAAATTTGGGGAATGTGGGGAATGATGGGAAGTGAGGTCAATTTAAGAAAGACCTAATTTACATGTCAGTTGAGGTCTTCAACAGATAGTGCCTAAGATGAGGTTTTAAAAAAAACTTAAAAGAAGCAAATATAAATATGCAAATATGAAGAGAATCTGCTAAAGGGGTTAAACCTGGTTTGCTCTTCAAGAAGACTGGGGAGTGGGGGATCGAGAGAAGGGATGAAATTGCTGTTGTCTTAAAAGCCTTGTAGAGGCAGTTGACGCTTCAAACAATTGACTCTGATTAAAATATGGAGTTTAACAGTCCTCCCCATCCCCTGCAAAACAGGAACAAAATGATTCCCACAAGTAAGGCATGGTCATAATGCAGTGTCCAGCACAGGCCCATAGAGGGCCCTAGAGAGCCTTTATTGCTTTTGGACTTGTTTGCAGACTAGCTTATTTACATAAATTCTTCTGTTGACCTTTGATCTTCACAAAGTTATGTTGTTGACCATTGCCCTGGAAGCTCTGGGAACATAGTATAGTCAGAGATCTTAGGAAACCTGGGAGAAAGTGGCTTGGGGCGTGAGTGGGAAGTCATTTAAAAGAATGTTCAGGATCAATGAATAATAATGTCCCTTCTGTGGACTTAGGAAAAGTGCTTTAAAAATCCAACCGTTAGCATCTTTTCATTTACATCTATTAAGAAAACAAAATGCAACTGAGTACATTTTAAACATCTTATTGGCTTTATTCAACTATTCATGAATTGGGCAGCATCCCCCCCAGCAAAGAGAAAGGAGCTCGAATTGCTGTACAAAATGGAAGATTTTAAAGGCAGCAAGGGGGTGGGATAAAGTTATTAGCAAAAGGAAAGATTACTTCAGGCTAGTTCGCCTTCCTTTTGGGAAAGGCAGGGGCCTATCAGGAATATTAACTCACTAGTGCTGACAGGGAATTCCAGATTGACTGGTTAACATTACAGTCCTGGGAGAGGCTGAAACTGCAGTTAAGTTAGGTCAATGAAGTCTTGGCTTGCTGACATGGGGCTTACCACAAGTGATTCCATTTTGGGTCTGTTGTCTCTTTGTTAACATCTTTTTATAAAATATGAAATCTATACAAAATCTTAAATTATTTTCTCTCTGTGCATAAGTTTAGGTCATTCCTGTTATCTCCCAACAGATACCTTTGTAAATTATCTTGTCCATTGTACATGGGCAAGTTTCTAGAAATTATGTTTCATTTTCAGCTGGTTTGTTGGGAGCACCATGTGCTAGCAGATGATTGGTAAACGTACTTGATTATAAAAATGATGAGACGACACAGATATGAAACAATTCTATGTCATCGGTACTCTTACAGCATGCTCTCTCTTTAGGACATTTTGTAGAACAACCATTTGGTATCCCCACCCCACTCCTTTAATGTCACAGTGGATTTGTAAAATCTGTTCATCTTGAAGTAGATAATACTTTTGTAATGAGTAGTGGGTGCTATGCCCTTTTGAGAAGCTAACTGTAATACATACCAGTTCTGGTGCAATCAGTGATCTTTTCATTGGCATCTGGTAAAGCAATTTATTGGTTAACATCCTAAGAGCAAAGAGTATCGGGCAGAAGCCCCGTAAGAACGAAGGAAAAGCTTGAGGTGGGGAGCAGAAGGAAATAGCAGTCCATTAGAACTGATGTGAGCCTGGAATTTGGAAGCGTGCAAGACATGCTTTAGACTCTAGAGGGAAACGCAATGAATCTGGAGTGTCTGATGGCCTCCGGAAAAACAATATGTTTAAATTAATTTTTATTTTTACCCATGTACATGGTTTTTAAGAAATCAAATAATTAAGACTTAGAATAAAATATAACAATCCCTCATTTTTCCCATTCTACATTTAAGTCTTTTGGCATTTATCTAATAATATGCTTATAATGCATGTTTCTTCATTTGTGAGTTTTAGATATTGTCTATTGAGTTTCTCTAATAGTAGATAAAGACTCATGCTAATACACCCACTCCTACTGCCCTCACTGCATCCTCCCAACATAGTAATAATATTTTTTTGTTAAACCAATAGTGTTTACATAATTATGACTATGTAAATATTGCTCACTACAGATCCAAGCAGTGTTCCATGGTTACTTTTTTTTCTTGAGCACCTTTCTGTTTTCCTGTAGTTAATCAATTTTTTCCTTTGTTTATTTTTCTATGTTCCTTTCCTTTGTTGTTTTTTTCCCCCAATTATGCCATCAGATCTGACAAATGTCTATTCATATTATTTTCCCAAAACTTAACTCTATCAGTTAGTGTATAATTCTCTTGTTTCTCTGGAGACCTGCCTCCTGGCACCATTTGTGTTCCTCATCTACTATGGACAGGTTGCTGCTCTCTAAGCCTGCTGCACAGTTGTCAATTGGGATTCCTTTTGCTCCTCTGTATTAGACCTCGTGTTTCCCAAACACTATGTCTTCCCCTTTCATATTTTACTGCCTTGTTTTTGCTGAAGCACATCCTCTAGTAATGTCCCAAGAAAGGGTACATGAGAAGTACAAATGTTTTTAGTCCTTGCATGTGTGAAAATGTCTTTAATTTGCCTTCACACTTTGTTATAAAATTATTTATTGGAAATAATATTCCCACAACTTTTGATGGCCTTGCTTTACTATTTTATGGCATCCAGGGTTACTGCTAAGAAGTCTGATGACAATCCAAAGATTGAATCTTTGTGTTGGCCTATTGTTTTTCTCTCTCTCTCTCTCTGTCTAGAAGCTTTTAAGATCTTCTCTTTTCTTTAGTATTCTGAAGTTTTACAATGACTTGCATTGGTGTGGTTTTCTGGGTTTTTGTTGTATCTTTTCAATATAGAGATTCCTGTCCTTTGGTTGTATCTTTTCAATATAGAGATTCCTGTCCAAGAATATTCTTGTATTTCTTAAATAATTTGTTCTAATTTTTTAAAATATAATTTATTCTAGAGATCATATTATACCCATACCAATGACCTTTGACCAAAAGAGGTAGAATTACAACTGCCTAAATTTTGCCCTGCTGAGTTGGACTGTGTAACTCATTTATTGTACATGTACATTGTATTTTTAAATACCTTGCAGTGTCTTAGATTTCATATTCTAATACTGGATGAGTGATCTAACCAAGGAGAAGGATATTAGGATACAGGAGTGAGGAGTGAGGTTACAATCTCACTGCAGCTTTTTTATATATATAAAAATAACAGCTTTATGGTATTCACATACCATAAAATTCACCCTATTAAAATGTACAGTTCAGTAGTTTCTAGCCTATTCACAGAGTTTTGGTGATGCCACCCACCATCACCAGTATCGAAGTTTAGGATGTTTTCATCGCCATTGCAATTTTAAGAATAACAAATTTGCATCCCTTGGTGAAATGGCCAGAGGCAGAGCTCCTGTTGGAAAGATTTGGGGGAGAAATGGGGGAATGTTACAGAATGCAAGTGTTGAAGGACTACAGAGATGCCAGCGACTGCAGGGGTGAGAGAAAGAAAGCTTTTGAGGGGAGTGTAGAATTAAAAGGAAGAGTCCATCCCGTCCAGGGGTATTGCATGAGGAAAGGGTTGGCAGTGGGAATGAGTTGAGTGTGTGTGCTGACCAGAAACAGCCTCTCTTCATTGAAATGGAAAGTTCTTGGGCCAGGGTGAGCGGGAAGATGAACTTTATCCTGGAGTTGTGTGCCCGGTGACAATCAGGAGTTTAACATCCCCGCAAGAGGCCTTTGGGGGGTGGGAGGCTCTATGCTGCGGTCTATTGGTTGTTGAAACGCATCTCTGAGCACATGAAAGAGGTGTGTGGAGGAGTTGTGAGGAGGTAAGGAGGAGCAGTGACATGGTAGGTTTTCTAGGGATGAAAGTCTGGGAAGTCTGGGATGCACAACCCTCCGCGGGCCTGTGCTCCCAGCTGCTTCTGAGCAGCTCCTCTCTGGGTGTTGTAGCGCTCAGTCCGCACCATGAAGACCTCTTCGAGTAGATCCTCCTTTCATCCAGACAGCGCTTCTTAGACACTTAGTGTTGAAAGACAAATTTGCTTTTAAATTTCCCAATCGGTCCCGGACCTATAGGTGTGTAAGATCCAATAACAATGAATTACTAGAAAGATTAAGAAAGACACGCAACATGCAAGCTTAGGGGTTTTTGTTTCCGTTTTTGTTTTGATTCAGCTGACAGTCACAGCATCAAACTGCTGTAAGAGTTTCTAGACGGGGGTCCGTGACCGCCCTTTGAGTAGCCCAGCTCCAAAGGAGAGGGGGAGCATTACAGAGGTGCAGAGACTGTCCCGGTGTCGCTCAGGTAACGGGGCCGGGGCAGGACTGAGCCTGAGAACATCCCTGCCGCCCTGGGCCGGGCGGGCCGGGCCGGGACCGCCCCGCTGCAGGGCCGACCCTGGGCGGGGTCAGCGCCAGGCCTGGAGACAAGCGGAGAGGGAGCCGCGGGAGCCGGGAGCTGGAGTGACCGCTCGCCATCGCCGGCCGGAGCCTGGGAGCCGGGGGAGCAGACGACTGTAAGCGCCCGGGGCGCGTGGCTTGCCGAGGCGGGATCCGTGGGGCAGAGGGCGCGCGACGGGGCGGTGGGGCAGGGCGGCCGCGGGCTGGGGGGCGCAGTCGGGCCGCGCCGTCCCGCCAGGACTCCAGGGCGACTTACAGACAGGGCTCCGCTCCCACTCGTGTCGCCCGCCCCACCCGCAGCTGCATCCCGGCTGCGGGGACCGCGCGCGCCCGCACCTGGCACCCCGGGCGCGCAGTTTGGAAGAGGCCCAGGCGAGCCCTGCCTGCCTGCTCGGGCCGCCAGGGCAGCGACTTCGCGGCCTCCGACCTGTTGGGCACGGCCGGCGGGAGGGGAGCGGCAGGGCCCCTTCCTTGCCCGGCTGTCCGGAAGAGTAGAGCTTCCCGGGGCGCGTCTCAGCCCCGCAGTGATGATAGGCATGTGCTTGTCCCCGGAGTCCTACAACCTATCTCAAGTCTTTTATTGTAGTTGCAATGTGCTTTCTTGTCGTCTCTGCCCGCTGCCCTGTTTTTTCCCCTCTCTTCCCCTCTTGCGCTTCTCTTGGGAGAGAGAAGGCCAGCAGGCTCAGCTCAGCTCAGCTCAGCCTAGGGTACCGAAGAGGAAACTTGGCCTTGGGGTTATTACAGTTCGCCGTGTAGTAGAAACCGACGGATGTGATCAGCCCTAGGAAAAGCACCGTAGACTCCTTCAGCCTCCCTCCTGGCAAAGGGCTCATTGACTTAGAAGCTTTGGAACTTGGCGTCTGGCCTCTGCAGCCTTGGGGTTGGTGGCTTTAGCAATGCTGTAATCCTAATATTGACTTCTTTTTCTTAAAGCTGTGTTCGCCCCTACCTCCACTCCCCTCCCCTCCACTGTATAAACTTAAGGCTCCCCAAAGCCTAGGCCTGGATGGGCAGATTCCCACTCCCTTCTCTGACCCCCCTGTCTCTACCCTGGCAGCTCTGGGACTCCTCTGCACAGTGAGGTAGGGGTTCGGGGCAAGGGGACCTATGCCTTTGGCATCTTAGCTCCCAGTGCAATGCCCTTGCTCAGATTTGTGAACTGTTTGGGAAAATTATTGAGGACGTTGAGATTTATGCCTGTTCCTGTGCCACTGCAGCCCCCTGTGAATTCAGCATGGTTCAAAGTAAACATTTTCAGGAAACCTCCTCTACGGCGCCGTCTTCTAGTGCCCTGGTGGCTTCCTTCAGGGAGTCAGGGTTTGGGAGATGTTGTGGGGAGCTTTCACCGACCCCACTGAATCTGATTTAGCAAAAAGGTCTCGGAATGTTCAGCAGCTTTTCTTTCCCGCATTTCCACAACGATGAGGACCCTGTGATGGTGTCCTCCTGTTTCCCTGCGGAAGTGCGGGCAGTGCTTAAGTGCTTAGGGACTGCCCTCTGCCCTGGGTACAGAGGCTCAGCAGGGAACATCCTTCATGGGGTCTGTAGTTTTGTTGGGAGACAGTTGGACAATAAGGAAAATAAATATGTGAAATATAAAGTATGTTAGAAGATGATGTGTGTTATGGAGAACAATAAAGCATTGAAGAGGGAAGGGGAGTGTCGGTAAAAAGAGAAGGCCTCACCGAGAGGTGATATGTGAATAATACTGAGGAGTAAAGAAAGTGGCAAGCTGCTATCTGGGGTGACGGTGACCCAGGTGGAGGGAAGAGTAAGTGCAAAGGCCCTGTGGCCAGTGGCAGGCTTGTGCCTAGTGTGGCTGAGATGTATGTGTGTGGACCAAGCTGCCACCAGTGTCATCTGGCGTGAGTGACCTACTGGATAAACTGAGCTGGCCCAGCCTGAGAGCTAGAGGACTCCCAACTTTCTGCTGCCTCCCCCACAGTTCCCAGAAGGAAAGATGGCCATGGAAAACAGCTGCTCAGCAAGGCAGCCAGGGTGAACCTCAAAGCCATCTTCTCCAATTCAGTCCATCTTGCGTGACTCCACCCCCTCTCAGCTATGGCTTAAGCACCCCAGCGGAGGTCTGCAGAAAGTTACTGAGTGTCCTTAGGCAGAGGGACTTTTAGAGAAAGTGCGTCCGACCACTGGAGACAGTGGAGTGACCCCCCCGAGCCCCCTCCTGTGGTGTCCTGGTTCATGTCTGATGTTTAAATCCAGCACCAACTGGAGCTCACAGGGAGCCCCTGTGTGACTAATGCCCAGTCCCATCCCCCCGCCCCTGCCCCTTCCACATAAGAGTCCAGCATGCCCGGGCTTAGTGATAATTCATTCACCTGGCACCTTGCCTTTTCGCTTTCAGCCTCCTAGCCAGGCCCAAGCTGCGCAGACTCCATGTCTCCATTCTTGAGCTGAAATACTCAAAGACATGGAACACAGCTGGGCTTACAAAATACGGAAGGGCTAAGTGCGAGCTGGCCACCACTGCTGAAGAAATGGCCCAGAACGTACCCCTCGGAGCTGGGGTGGGCCCAGTTAGAGCAGGTGTGGGGCGATTTGGCAGGGCCTCTAGGGTCTCAGGCTCAAAGCCCACCTCTGGTAGGGCCTAGATGCCATCCTTAGTAATTCATTCCTTTGAGAGGTAGTACAGTGATGTGGGGCGAGAACTGGCATAGAAGGAAGACCCAGCTCACGTCCCAACTCTGCCATTAATGTCACCCTCCCTGGGGCCTCAGCCATAAAATGAGGAGGCTGGAGTATCCAATCTGCAAGACCGCTGTGTGCAGCTCTAATAGGAGATGATTCCGTGGTTAAGTCCAAAGGGATCTTCAGGAGAGGAAGAACGTAGGTGGGGAGTGGTCAGTGTGGATGAGGTCTGGGTGGGCCCTGCAGCCCATGCCAGGTCCACTGAGGGCAGCTTAAATACAGTGAAGGCCCTGGCCCCAGGGTGCAGGGGTGACAAGCCCTCAGACAGAGGTCAGGGGCCCAGGATTGAGGCAGAAGAGTCACTGCCCAGCCCAGCTGGCCTCCTGGGGTCACCTGTGGGTGTTCTCGGCCTAGGCTGGCCAATTTAGGAGAAGAGGCCCCACGGGGCTGTGTGGGTAAGGTGGGGAGGGTGCAGCAGGGAGAAAGCACCCCAGTAGTTCCCCCAAGAGGAAACCAAACCTTTGCCAAGGCTCTAACCACCCCCTTTCCCTGAGGAGGAAGGGGTGGTGGGCGCTCCGGGAAGAGCTCCCGCTCACGTTGACCCTTGAACAGCTCGGGTTTGCTCTAGGTGGGTCCCCTTCTACATGGGTTTTTTAAAATATATGGGAAAAAATTTTGGATATTCGCAACAATTTAAAAAACTAGCAGACAAACCTTATGATTTTCTTAGTAATGTTTTCTTTTCTCTAGCTTACTTTAGTGTAATAATACAGTATATAATACATATAGCATACAAAATGTGTATTAATCGACTGTGTAAGGTATCGGTAAGACTTCCAGGCAACAGTAGGTCATGAGTAATTAAGCTTGGAGAGGAGTCAAAAGTTATATGTGGCTTTTTGACTGCGCAGGGGTTTGGAAACCCCTAACCACCCACCCTCCCCCGCATCGTTCAAAGATAAACTGTATAACTAAACACAGTTGCGCAAACCAAGTTCAAATGGAAGCAGCCTCTTCTACCACCAAGGTCTATTTACATTCCTGAGGGAGGTCGTGTTCTTCCTTTCTCACCCAGATAGTGGCTATTTTCACTTTCTAAAATCGAGCTTACAGCATTCCTCCAGACGGGCTCAGAGACCTGGAGTGGAGTCCCCGTGCGCCCTGGACCCCACTGTCTGTCTCTTTGCTTTTGTTGCCTGGTGGGTGGGTGGGCACTGTTCTCATGAAGAACCAACTTAATGCACTGTCCAGGGGCAGCAAAGCCACACCTGTTAGGCTCTCTGAGGCCTAACGAAGTCCTTGCATTAGGAAAAAATAATAATGCGCTTCTCTCTGAGGAGTTAAAAGAATTTCCAGAAGATTCTGTAGCTAAGCCACCAAGGGGGACCCGGGTCAGGAGCAGGAATTTCTGCTGCCTTTAGTGTTTGGGAAGATTGATAAACAAGACGGGCTGAATTCAGATGTCTTGGCACTTACCAGCTGGGTTAACTCAAGCAGACTACTTAGCCTCTGAGTTTCATTTCAAAATCTCTTAAAACCAGAAACACTGCCACTTCCTTCTCAGGGTTATTGTCGTGCATGAGATGATGTGGTTAAAGAGTCTTCCCAACCCTGTGGCACAGTCTAGGGCTTCTCTGAGCTTCCTCACAGGAGGTTGTGGTGCCCAGACACATACTTGGAAGGGTTCTGAGTGTCCCTGCCATGGGCCTAACCAGCTGGCTTTAGCCCGGATGTGGCTGGCACTGTGAGCCTGCCAGGGCTGTGGGAAGCCGTCGGCCAGGAGCAGGAGGCCCGGAGTGCCTCCGTGCCCTGTGAGAGAGCCGTTCAGCGCTCCTCAGAGAGGCCAGGAAGTGGGCCCTCCACCTCTGCTGCAGGGCCACCACCTCAGGTTGTCCCCCAGCAGCTCAGCCTGGGGCTTGGCCTTTCCTGTGGAACGAGAGATCTTTGCTACATTGGGTGACGGCTTTCCCATGTACTTCTCTTTTTGTTACAACTGGAGCGACCTGGACCTTTTGGAAAGTCAGAGAAACACTTTGGCTCCAGTGCCAAGCCCCATGATTAACCCCTGTAGTGATAAGAGCGCCTCAGGAAAGTCTGACTCTCTTACCAGCTCTTCAGGGGGAAAATGGATGTACTTTCCTGCGTTCCAGCTTTTCTTCCTGTGTACCAACTTGTCCCTGTGAGGAGGCAGGAGTGGGCAGGCCAGCCACCAGCTGGGGGAAGGCAGCCTGTATCTTCCTCCCGTAGAGGCAGGGCTGTCCTCAAGGTCATGGTGATACTCTGTCGAGATGGCACATCTTAATTTCAGAATGGCCCCCAGGACCTTTGCTTGCACGCCAGAAGTCTTGTTCGCCTTTTGTGACTTTTTATTCTTTTTTGCAACCTAGACGTTGCTGCAAGCAAACTAATCCCACCAAGATACCCATAACCCAGAACATTTCTCAGAACCCCGACAGTAGTCCTTAGGGCT